GGTAGCATGCTATGGACGACCAGCGCTACTACTACACCTTCCTAGCAGTACCGTGTTTGTTCCACCCGGCGCTACTACTACACCTCCCTAGCAGTAGCACCTGGTGGGCCACCCGTGCTACTAGTAAAGTTTGCTATTTTTTTACTACTTTGTACTGGTTTTAGATAGCAGTCTCATCATATGATTTTATGATCATGATGAGTTATTATTTCAGTGGGTGAAAGAGACATGGATTAGATTCAAGTGGAGGCAACATGGTGCAGATCCAAAGTACTACTAATCCAAACTTGATGTATGATCAAGTTTGGATTAGTAGTACTTCCGATCTGTTGGATTAGTAGTACTTTCAGTCTGCACCATGTGTTGCCTCCACTTGAATCTAATCCATATTTATTTCACCCATTGATATATATATATATATAATAACTGATCATGCTCATAATGATATAACAACTAAGAATCATCATCATTAATAATAACTCATCATTGTTATCATAATAACAAGTCATACTCATCATCACAGCCATCTAAAAACTTCTACTCATTATCATAAAAACAAGTCATACTCATCATCATCATTAGAGTCATCTAGCAACTTCTACTTGTTATCATAATAACAAGTCATACTCATCATCATCATCATAGTCATCTAACAACTTCTACTCATTATCATAATAACAAGTCATACTCATCATCATCATAGTCATCTAACCAACCCTAGTTAATTGTTCTTAGCACATGATCATGAGTATTAGATAGGGCCTACTACACTCTCTAAGGTAAAATAACATATAACAAAATAGCCCCTGATTCTCCATTATAGAGAATGGAGAGTATCCTGTCTCCAATTCGTGCGCTTCACACAATGTTTCTTCCAAGTAGCTCCCTATGATTCTTCATGCATTTTTCCATTTTTGATTGTCATGTCTTCATTGGTTTGAGAAATCTTGTATGAACAGCGGTGAAGCGTAGGTAGACTTGGCCGTAAGGTAATAACATCAAGGCGACCTTTCAGAAACATCAGATGAGGCACACAATCCTTTGTGATTTTGTGTTGAAAAACATAATAATAATGTCATAGTTAGCAATGTAGTTTTGCTTTAGAAGAATGTATGCAAAAGATGCACTGATGTCATAATAGTAAAAAATATTACCACAACATCTCCATGGATGTTACCGTAGTTCAACACGTGCACTAGTGGCACGTATTGACCATAATGTGCAGGAGTTTCATAATTGATATTGTAATTCTCAACATGAATAATAAAGGAGATAAGATGATCTTTCTCCTCATAAGTTAATTCAGAGCCATCAGTGTAGTAGGTTCTGTCTACTATCTTTCATACATTTCTTGAAGAATGGAAATAAGCTTTCAAATATTTTGAAATAAACAATATACATTACTTAATAAAAATGTTTGAGAAAATCACATAGAGGTAGAAGTGGAGGCGTATCAACATCGACCCAAATGTCGATATTATCTTCGTCGATATTATCTTCATCGATATTATCTTCGTCAGTGCCATCTTCAGGATCACCAAGATCAAAGGTGACATGCATACCCTCCTGAAAACCATACGCCTTGCATAGTGCTTCCCAATTGGAGCAACCGAAATGAGAGTAGGTCACCGCATTGTATAGATTTACGGAAAAAGCATAACCATGATGGGTCCTGAGGTTAACTCTCTTTGTCTCCATATTCTCGTGATCATCGAAATTCAGCTTCTCCAAGACATAACCTCTTGCATGGCAGGGGATGCACTAGTCGAATTGTAAAAAAGCGGAATTACACGTTGATGAAGCACATAAGGCATGCTTAATTACGAAAAAAACTTGTCTTCGTTGCGTACCCTACAAACATTGAAGGTATTGTCGAGCTTAACAGTGAAGCGTCGACCGTCTTCCAGGTGAGGGAGCATATCGCACAGACCCTGGTCGTCGCCGCAGTAGTCGCACTCAGGGATCCTTTAGTCGTCAGACATTTGCTATGTTCATAATTCAAACATTGAACTTCTGAATTTCAATATATGTAGTACAAAAACTAAATTTGATCATTAATATTCATCACGGGTTGACTTTCGGTCTGTTGAGTCTTCCTTGAAAACTCGCATCTCACGTGGTGTATATGGTGGGCACTCCCTCTCTGATATATTCGACCATCAGTGATGGTCGCTCCTCCCTTCGTCCTCGAGTGCAATTTTCTAGCACATGGGAACGAAGGAGAAGAGACCACCACGACAACAGTCAGGATTCTTCATTGATATTTTCGACTGTCGGTGATGGTCGTTCTTCTCTTTCTTCCCGCGCATTACCAGAAGGTCTATCACGAGAAAGAAGAGGAAGAACGACCCCCACAACAACAGTCGACATTCTTCTTCTCTCATATATGGTGGACACTCCCTCACTGTTTTTTGACTGTCATGTATGGAGCCCCAACAGACTTAAAGTCAACCCAAAATGTTGTTTAATGCCCTTTTCGGCAAATCCAAGGCACTCGATATTTCCTACATTCTAGCACAAGCCATACTAAAATTCACGGAAAAATATAGCATGACATTTGCTAAAAAGGATATATCGAGCGCCTGAAATTTGCCGGAACAGAAATTAATCAACACTCCGACAAAATATAGGCCACTGGGAGGTGTTCCCTGCAAACATAGGCCACTTGGGCAAGCACATATCCTATTTGAGCAACACTACTAGATATACATGTTTATATCTACATCATATTTGAGCAACACCAGCTAGTACACAATACATGTTTACTCACTACAGACGATGGCTATCGAGGATGTGGGTGTCGTCAGCGATCTTCTGTGCGTCGTCGACCGGCTCGTCGTTGATATACCCTGCGCCACAAATGAGCATAAACACATGAGGATTCAAACTTGGCGCTCATTCACAATGGTTCAATATAGAAACTAGGTCTCTCTCTCTCTCTCTCTAAATTTAGCAATGTGAGATTGACATAACTAAATACCCTAGTTCTACTCTATTCAACACTTAGTAAAAGTTTCTATTGCTATAATTTCTATACCTAAATTTTCTTACAACAAACTTCTATTACTAAATGTGATACCTAAAAATTTCTCATATAACATTCCAATACATTTCTATATTGAAAATTTTCTACACATAAAAATTCTATTACTTAATTGTTTTACTAAAAATTTCTATTACTATAATTTATTTCTATATGATTACTAGTTATA